TCAGGTCTGGGTCTTTTGGTCGTGGCCGGCTGGTGGCGGCGCTCGCCCTGCAGGTTCGCCTGGCGAGGTCGACGAGTGTGAATGCGAATCTTCTTACGCCGGCCGCGCAGCGGTCCGGGGTGCAGTCCCAGCGCCTTTCGGACTAGGGCCAAAACGACGGTGGCGGCGTACACTGTTGCAGCAGACAGATGGGAACCTGTTTGTGCTGGCCTATCTGTGCACGCTCAAAATGTTACGTAAGACCAGATTTTCCTGCTGTGCTATTCGCTACTGCTCGGCAGAAGGGCAGAGTGGCTGCACTCTTCACAACGAGTTGGCCGAGGAAGCGCGCACTCTCCGTGAGTGTTCTGCAAGTTTTCCGCCACTCCGCATTTTCGGTTGCCTCGGACTCCCCCCTCTCCTCTCTTTCCTCCCGCGCTCGCCTCCTGGAGGCGGAGCTCAGGCTTACCCTGCTGGTGCAGGCCTGTTCTCTGCCTCCTCTGCCTGCTCCTCCTCTCTCCCCTCAATTGGCAATTGCCCACGCGGCCACCGGGGCTCACTGCTTCGAGGGTGGCCGGCGGGTCGGGCGGGGCCCGGGAGACAATTCGGCGGCTGCCACCTTGCGGGAGGTGGTATCCACGTTCGCACTGCCATTGTTGAGGTCGGCGCTGTCTCCGAGGTTCCGTGATGGGGGGGCTCGCCGCGCCTGTTTCCTGGCTCTTGCGCCGCTCCCTCTTAGGTCGTTTTTTTGTTGCGGGCCTGGTCAGCCCTCTCCGCTTGCCGCCTCTCCTCCCGCCTTCTTGGTGATTTCCACTTCATCTGATCGAGCTGCCGCCGGCAGGTTTGCGTGGTGAGTTACGGAGCTTCGTGTTGCGCCTTAGCTTTGTATACAACCCTAGCTTGATTGTTGTTTCCCCCCTTCTTTGTCCTTCCCCTCCCCCTCGTATTCCCTCCTCCTTGGACTCTAGGTGTCACTTTGTTGGTCGTTCTGCCCAGTCTCGGTTGCGACCGCTAAGTTGCCACCGCGAGGTCTTAATCCGGATGCGATTTCTTGTCTCCGGCAAGCAGTGCACGTGTCTCCCAGTTTGTTCACTGGATAGTTTAATTGTCCGCATGTCTGCGCTCCCGCATGTTCCGCCTGCATTTCTTTCGCGCCGCTAGTGGAGGCTTTCGCTTGGATGTCCGCTCTCCTCTTCTCACTTCAAAAAACATTAACAACCATAGGAACATTAAGATTGTGAAGAAGAAAGCGACGAACACAACTCATAAAAAGAGGACGAGCACTCATAATCAATGAACATAAGAAGAATTCGCAATACACAAAACTAAGAGGGATAAGAGAAGAAATATCAAAACTGGTACGAATAAGAGGAGGACGAGGACGAGGAGGAGGGTGAAGAGGCGGGAAGAGGAAGATGAGGAGGAGGAGGCATGATGATGATGAGGATGAGGAGGAGCAGGACGAGGACGAGGAGGTGGAGGATAATGAGGAGGAGGGGGATGAGGAGGAGAAGGAGGACGAGGAGGAGGAGGAGGAGGAGGAGGACGAGGAGGAGGAGTATCATGAGGAGGAGGGGGATGAGGAGGAGAAGGGAGGAGGGAAGGGAGGAGGAGGATAGAGGAGAGGAGGAGGAGGAGCAGGACGAGGACGAGGAGGTGGAGGATAAAGAGGAGGAGGGGGATGAGGAGGAAGGAGGACGAGGACGAGGAGGAGGAGGAGGAGGAGGAGGAGGAGGAGGAGGAGGATCATGAGGAGGAGGGGGATGAGGAGGAGAGGGAGGAGGAAGAGGAGGAGGAGGAGGATAGAGGAGGAGGAGGAGCAGGACGAGGACGATGACGACGACGAGGACGAGGAGGCCGAGGAAAACGAGGAGGACGAGGAGGACGAGGAGGAGGAGAACGAGGAGGATGAGGAGGACGAGCAGGACGAGGAGGACGAGGAGAACGATATGGACGAGGAGGAGGAGGAGGAGGAGAAGCAGGAGGAGGAGGCGGAGGACGAGGAGGAGGAGGAGGAGGAACAAGAGGAGGAACAAGAGGAGGAACATCATATGGAGAAGAACACGGAGGAGGCGGATGCGGAGGAGGAGGCGGAGGCGGAGGAGGAGTAGGAAGAGGAGCAAGAGGAGAAAAAGGAGGAGGAGGCTGAGCAGGACGAGGAGGAGGAGGAGGTGGGGAGGAGGAGGAGGAAGAGGAGCAGGAGGAGGAGCAGCAGGAGGAGGAGGAGGATAATGATGTGGAAGAAGAAGAAAAAGACGAAGCATAAGAGGAGGAGGAGGAGGAGGAATAAGACTAACAAGAGTTACCAGACTAATAAGAATGGCTTCCAGCCTCTGCTGGCACGGCCAAGTGGTCGGGCCTCAACCGCCCTGCGGCGGGCATACGCGCTTCAGGGCGGCGACACCACGGCTCAAATGTACAAAGCAGACGGCCCACGAGGCCTTACAACATTGCCAAACATTATCCCCCGAGCTTTCGCCCGTGTTTTGGGCTTTGGTTTTGAAACGCGCCGCTCCTGAGACATACATCGGCTGAATGGCCCCCGAGGAAGAAGAGGAAGCGGCAGCAGCAGCAGCACTTACGGGAGGAGGAGGTCAAGGAAGACGGGCTGAATTCACCAGCATCGGCTTGCGCGAAAGTTGGCGCGCGACGGTGGCCACGGCACGAGCGCTTGCAGCAGCAGAGGCTCGCCGCTCCGCCGCGTCCCCACCCTCCCCATCCAGAGTCACCACCCCGTCCCCCGTCCCACGCTGCTGCACGTCATGGCCTACATACTGCTGCTCACTACTGACTCTCTGCTGCAAATGCTGTGGCTCACTGCTCACTTCGTGATGCGATCCAGCAACTTGGCCGCATCACTCTCTGTAGGACCCCGCGCAGGGCTACACCTACCTTGCGCTCCCCTACCTTGCGCTACCTGCCTTGCGAGTGGCTCTGATCCTGCACGCGCGAACATCGTCCGCGAGCTCGATCGAATCCTTTACCGGCACTGCGTCGCGCCAGTATACCTCGAAGCATTCTTTGCAATCCTTTGAGAACTGTGGATCTTGCCCCGCCGATTGCACCAGAGCCACCCTTATCTTCAGAAAAGGAATTCCTAGAGAAGCCGCACCGCCGCCGCTCTTTCTTAATTGCTGGACCATGCTGTGATACTTCACCCTTTGCTTTGGCGGCAACGGTCGCGAATCGGGAGCAGAAATGTTAAGAAGACGATCCCGCAGATGTCCCTCAATTCTGCTGCGCTAGTGAGAGAAAGCTTTGATAGAATTGTCACGAGCTGTTTCAGAATGTCCCCGACTCCGCCTTTCGCCTGCTGCGTACTGCTGCGTAGCTGCCGCCACGTGCTTCGCCGCCTTCGCTGCTGGCTCTCCGCTGCCGTCAGCCCCATCTTGAGAGAGAGGCTCCAGCATCCTGGCGGAACGCTTATCCGTGTGCGCAGTTGCGTCGAAGCCAAGAAGGACGGTGCTCTGGGAAAGGACCAAGATACGTGCGTCAATGGTTATGCGACGCCACGAAGCTGCGGCCATTGAACACACAAGACGGGCACTGGTATGATGATGGTATGCTCGGAGGCTAAAGATGTCGAGCCGCTACATCACTACCAAATCCTCGAGCTAACGAATCGCGGAGGTGTCGTCGACATGTGCCTTGAGAGGCAAACGTGGTAAGGCACACAAAGTACTGTTTAGAGACACTCAGGATACTCGATAAGGGCTGATGCCCATGTCCAGCTATACTATGTGCACAGCACGTCGATATGTTAACATAGCGCCGCACACAATGCCACTGCTATCACACATCATGCACTCATACTGTTTCTCGATCTCGATCACACTTCTGGCTAGCTCAGGCTTGGGGCCAAGTCCAGGAATCTGTCCAGCAGGGGGTACAGCTACAGTGAGAGATTTACTCCGAAGCTCGCTCACATCAACGCGTAATATCATACCACCCGCTTCCTCCGAGCGAATCAATTCCATGAACCATCCAGGAAAGCTAGCAAATCAGGGCCATCTCCGAACACCCCCAAGGCCTCCACATCCTCCCACTTCATCGGGACCCAAGGATGAGCCTCGGCACTAAGAAGACCATTGACCCCAAACGAGTGACGATGTGCAACAGTGGCAAGCAGCGCTGCAATGACTTGTCTGTGAAACTGTGAACGACGCACAAGTTCCTGAAGACCCGCAGTCGCCTGGTCCAAGCCTCAAGCTTGGGTGAAACCATCCGCCAATGAGCCAGAACTTCAGCATTCCAGAGAGACCGCGAATGACGCGCAGCATGCGGATCAAATGCGTCGCCACACATGGCACGCCGAGCAACGGCTGCAATCTGGATAGTCTCCGATATTCTGCACTAGATGGAACATACGCATCGATACCAGACAGCCTTGCATTGCACACCTTGCTCATAAACAAACAGCGTCGTAATCGATCCAGAATGCAAGGAAGATGCCCACAACTCCCCATGGAATAATAACCATATTGCGTTGCGTTACACTTTGCTATAAGTTCGACGCCATACCGTTGAGGCTGAGCACTGACTTGGAAGCCACTGGATTCGATCACCTGCGCAGTTCGACAAGTCACAGAAAGCACCTTCTCGCAAGAGCCGAAGTGCTTCCGATGACCCCCTCCCCACAAAGCATACCAACGTATCTTGCGTACTCAGTTTCTAGGTCCAGATCTAGATCTGCAATATCATCAGCATGCTTCGTCCAAGACAGGTCCTTCATCGTGCCAGACACAGGGCAGCGTACATGTAGGTAGCGCGAATCACGATCCCAGCCATGCTGGGCCCGAGGAGGATAAGGATCGAGAGGGAGAATGAGGATGAGGAGGAGAAGAAGGAGGAGCAGGAGCAGGAGGAGGATCTGGAGGAGGAGGAGGAGGAGGAGGAGGAGGAGGAGGAGGAGGAGGAGTAGGAGGGGGAGGGAGGAGCAGGAAGAGGGTGAAGAGGATGAGGAGGAGGAGGAGGAGGAGGGAGGAGGAGGAGGAGGAGGAGGAGGGGGAGCGCGCCCTAAGGAAGAACGAGCAGCGCACGCTGGAGCTGCGTGCGCCGCCCCCCACCCCCCGCGCGGGGTCCTCGCCGCACCGGCACGGCGCGAGGGGCCCACGACCCTCCGGCACTTCGCTGCGACAGCGAGGGTCGACGACGGCCCACGGCCCTCGCGCCTCGCGCCACGAGGGCGAGCAGGGTTGGCCACGCACAGAGGGGGGTAGGGGGAGGGGGTAAAGCTTCCGGGAATCACCCCTGCTTCTCAGAAGGCGTGGGCCTTCTCTGCAGATGTACGGTAGGTTCGTGTCGTTGAACGCCGCGGGTGACCCAGAATCGTTCGATGTGGAACGATCCCCGCGGTGTCAGAAACCAACGGCGAAGTCGGCACGAAACGAACCTGACGTAGGGTCAGCACCTCCTAAGGAGCAGCCTGCTTCTAAGAAGCCTTTTCCCCTCCCCCTACCCCCTTGTGCGCGTCGCCAAGAGGAGGGCCCAGCTTTTCGGCCTCAACGCTCGAGGAAGCGTAGTGTGAGCCCTGGAACAGTAATTTACCTCCCCATCCCCGTCCTCTCCTGGGGCGGGGAAGTCGTTGCCGCCCGCGACAGATTCGCTATTCATCTCCCCGCCGTCGCCGTCGTCGTCGTCGCCGTCGCCGTCGTCGTCGTCGTCGTCATCGTCGGCCGGCGTCGTTCGTCGTCGTCGTTCGTCGTCGTCGGTTCGCCGTCGCGCTATTTTTCGCCCCGCGTCGCCGTCGGTGTTTGGCCGCCGACGCATTTGTGATTCTTCGTCCCAAAACAATTTATCTGTTCTTGAGCCTACATCATGCATGGAGTAAGGCGCGTGGATTAGCGACGGCGATGCTCGCGCGTGTGCGCCGATAGAGCCCTGCGCTCCGCCACGCTGGTCCCAGGCAGGCTGCTGCCCACAGGAGGGGGACGAGGGGAGAAGCAGGCAGACGGCGATGGGCGTGCAGGCGGGAGGCCAGGGCCGGCGGGGCGGGCGGGCGGGCGGAAGGGGGGCCTGGCGGACAGCAGGCAGGGAGCTGATTAGCGACGTGTCCTGTTTCCGCGCGGAGTCGGCGCGTTCCGTCGCTAAGTCAGCGCATTGGCCTCACGCTTCGGTGGGGTGCCCTCCCAGCTCCGAAAGAGCGCGTTCTGTGGACTCTGCGGAGAGGGGGGGGTCGAACCGGGCCCCCCCCCACCCCCACCCTTTAAGGTGAGGGGGGGTGGGGGTCGAATTGGGCGGGGGTCCTCCCCTTGCGCCGGCGCCGGCGCCGTTGGGCAGCAACGACGATGACGACGCCGACGACGACTATCGAGCTCCCCAAATAGGGTGCGATTAAAGCTGGACCGAGCCCTAGTAGGGTTCTTTTAGGTTTGGGTCGAGCCCTATTATGATTTAATTGGAGCTGGATCCAGCCCCAGGGGGGTGCTAGTGGGGCTGGATTGAGCCCTTGTAGGATTCAGTCAAGCACGGATTCCGCCCCTTTGGGATGCGAGTTGGATCGAGCCTTCGTAAGATTCAATCACACTTGGATCCAGCTATAGTGGAATTCTCGTAGATATGTCGACGAGCCGAAATCTTTCACATCAGTAATTTTGGGTCTCGGAGCCCACAGGGCGGTTTTTCATGTTTTCCATTCGGCGTTCCATGAAGCCCGATGTCATTCCGAGGCCGCGCGTCGAACGTTTTCGATGGCGCGTCGCGTTATGCGATGTCACGTGCGTTGGGGTCGTCAAAGGCTTGCGTGCTTGTTGCGGATCGGTTGATGTGGGCTGGGGTTTCTCACGATTGTACATTTGCTTTGCGCTGGGGCGGTTTCGACCCCCATCCCTGGCTGATCCACCCCGCGGGTAACGTCGCAGGAAGAGTTCGATGATTTCGTTCGTAGTGCCAGCGATGCTGTCGCGGACATTGACCGCGCCACGGGGGGGGTCGTCCAGAAATTTCCTACCATATTGCAATGCTGGCTCTTCGTTTTGAAGAGACACCGCCCCGCGTCATTCCTTCCGGCCCCCTCCCTCGTCCTCCCTCTTCGCGTATCTGCCCCTGCTTTCCGCGTGTCCCCGTCGTCATCGTCCATCGTCATCGTCGCCATCACCATCATCATCAGCATCATCAGCATTCTCGTCGTCTCCATCATCAATACCACCACCATCCTCATCAACATCATCAAAACCCCCCTTTGTTCCCCCGCGTTTCTGTTTCGCCACGTCCCCCGCAAGTCTCGTGGCCTTGTGAGGTGCTCCACCGAAGGCCCCATCGGCAGGGTCCTTAGTGCGCCGCCCAGCCCATGTCGGCACGCCCCTCAGACGTTTCGTGTCCCCATGAGGAGCTCATCGGAGGCCCCGGCGGCAAGGTCCACATGCCGTCGCCCAGGCCACATTGACGACACCCTCAAACACTTCGTGCCCTCATAGGCAGCTCCACCAAAAAAAGGTCAGGTGTCGGCCCCATGGAGGAGCTCATCGGAGGCCCCGGCATAGGTCCACATGCCGTCGCCCACGCCACATTGACGACACCCTCAAACACGTGCCCTCATAGGCAGCTCCACCAGGTGTTTCCCAGGCCGCCGCCCAGCATTTCGGCAACATAGCTTTTCATGCGTCACACGCTTCGTGGCCCCATTGGGGAGCACCCCCGATGGCCCAAGCGACAGGGTCCACATGCCGTCGCCCAGCCCATGTCGTCCACGAGTGGCGCCCAGCACGGCTCCAAGAGCGCCCCAAGAGGCGCCGAGTAAGTTGCACCCTCATGCAAATAGGTTTTGTCACTTGTGGGGGTCCTCTTGGGGCCCTCTTGGAGCATTTTTGGGGCCCTCTGGAGCGTTCTTGGGGCCTTCCCGGGGCCCCAGTGGGCCCTCGGAGGGCCCCAAGAACGTTCCCCGATGGCCCCAAGAGGGACCCCCCAAAGTGGTGCGAAGATTCGCGCAAACGTGCAATCTGTTGTAGGCCTGTCGGGGCCCTCTGGGAGCTCTCTTGGGGCCCCCATTGGTGGCGCCTTGGGGCCTTGGGATGGCTCCAAGAGGCTTCGGGATTGCCCCAGACCGCCACAAGACAGCTCCGAGACGGCCGTCGAGCACCACGGGTGAAAGCAAGTGAGGCTAGGGAACAGGGCCTCTGGTAAGCCGCCACTGCGCCCCCTGGACTACCCAGACAGCGAGGGGACCTGAAACGCCCTGGGGCTCCAGGGGCCCCAGATTAGTGAAGTGAAGGTTTTTGCCTGCCAAGCACCCCGAAATTCTTCACTTCACTAAACCGGACCCAGGACGAACACGCTACGCTTCAGTCCCGCGGGAGATGCGAGACTCCCGCCGCCGCCCGGGGACGCTGCTGCATTGCGGTGCTCTGGTCACTGTTAATGGCTTCCACGGGCTGCAGCGGCTCACTTCCATGACTACCCCGACTCACGAATCCAGTGGTTGGTCTGGCTCTATGGGTTGGTTTCGTTGTGTCGGTTGATTTTATGCTTGGTTGGCGGTCGGTGGATTTCGCGTTGTTCATTGGTGTCGTGAAGTGATTTGTCGTTTGGTTGGTCAGTGCCGTTTTGTTGATTCGTGCCGTTTTGTTGGTTGGTGTCGTTTCGTTGGTTGGTGTCGTTGTGTTGCTTGGTGTCGTTTTGTTGCTTGGTGTCCTTTTGTTGGTCGGTGTCGATTTGTTGGTTTGTTGGTTGGTGTCGGTTTGTTGGTTGGTGTCGTTTTGTTGCTTGGCGTCGTCCTGGCGGCGTGGCCGATAATCGGCGGCCTGCAATGGCGCCAGGATTTGTTTCGGGCCAGCCTTGATCGCCCTCATCATTCTCATATTCGTCAGCGTCAGCACTCGTCGCCCCCATCCGCGCACACATGCGGCCCTGGTACGGCTCTCACGCGGCCCTGCGAAGGCCTTCACTGTGCTCCCCAAAGCTTTCTGAGGGGCCCCCCAGAGGCCCCAAGAGGGCACTGGAAATTGTCGCTTCCAACTCCGCCAGGCGGAGGTCAACAAGGGTCTCACTGGTGCACTTCCAGGAATCGTCGTTCGATCCTCTTGGGGCCCTCCTGGGGCCTTCTGGACCGTCTTGGAAGCTCCGAGCGGCTCCATTGAGGCGCCGGGCGATATCGCTTCCAATTCCGCCAGGTGGAGTTAGACCAGGGGCTCACTGAGGCCTCTTTTTGCGCCCTCCTCTGCCTTTGAAAAAGCCCCGATGGGGTTCTTCAGTGCCGTCTTAGGGCCCCTAAGAGGCCTCCAGTAGGGTATTGAAGTTATCGCTTCCAACTCCGCCACGCGGAGTTGAACCCAGGGCGGCTCTCTGTGGCCCTTTCGGGGCCTTCTTAGAGCTTTTCTGAGGCCCTAAGTGGGCCCTGGGAGGTGTCATTTTCACGGGCGTTGAAAGTGACACCGCGGAGGGCCCTCTTGGGCCCTTCTTGGGGCCTCTCTTGGGTCCCTCTGGGAGCCCTCTTGGTGCCGCCCTGGGGCCTTCTCGGGGCCTTCTTGGAGCCTTTCTGGTGCTCTTTAAGTGGGCCCTGGGAGGTGTCACTTTCACGGGCGCTGAAAGTGACACATCGAAGGGCCCGCTTTCCCTGGTAGCGCTGCCCGTGGCCGGGGCATTGTGCAGCGCATCCCTCGTCGAACGCATTTTGTCGGACGCGTGGTCGAATTCCGCCAGTTCGGTCGAGATGGTGGTCAAGCGGTTCGGTTGCAATGTAGCCATGCGGATCTGAGCTTACCATTTCTTGCCATTTTGGCGGGGGTTCGCAGGAGCGTTTGCGTCGTGATCAACTGTGCTCGATATATCCAGCGGCAGCGTTTCATCCCAATCTATAATTTTGAAAAAAGTCAGCAGGGGCCAAATTGGTGATGTGAAGCAACATAGGTCTCGTAATATGGGTCGAACCTTACCACGACGCTGTTGAAGTTGGTCCGAGCCTTAGTTGGATTGACATTGAATTGGGCCGAGACCTTGTAGAATTGAAGTAGGGCTGGTTCCTGTCTCAGTAGGATTCTATCAGAGCTGGATGCAATTATAATTGAACCGACTTGGTAAATAGTTCGAGTGTGAGTATATTTCAGTTTGATCGAGACCTATTCGGATTGTATGAGGGGGGGACGGCGGGTGGCGGTTTGACTCCCCCCTTGAAAACAGGGGGGGGGTCGGTTCGAACCCCACCCCTCCCCCCTGGAGAGGGGGGGGCTGATTAGAGGTGCCGGAGTCAGGGGGAACGGGGGAGGGGGCAGGTTCCCTGGGCGCATCACATGTCTAGGCCCCCCCCCCGGTTCCGACGTGTCCCAGGATTTGCTCCAAGCAAGCGTCCGAATCCAAGTATTATCTTTCACTCGCCGTACCTCTTCCGAGGAGTTCGCGAGGCAATCCCGAAGAAGAATATATTGAGGAATGAGGGAGGAGGAAGCATAGGTGGATGATGATGATGATGATGATGATGATGATGATGATGCTGATGATGATGATGATGACGACGATGACGATGACGATGACGATGACGATGATGATCATGATGTTGCTGCTGCTGCTGATGATGATGATGATGCTGATGACGATGACGATGACGATGACGATGACGATGACGATGATGATCATGATGTTGCTGCTGCTGATGATGATGATGATGATGATGATGATGATGCTGATGATGACGAAGAAGATGATGATGATGATGATGATGATGATAAATATGATGATGCTGACGATGATTTTGATGATGATGATGATGAGGAGGAGGAGGAGGAGGACGAGGAGGAGGAGGAGGAGATGGAGGTGGAGGTGGAGGTGGAGGTGGAGGTGGAGGCGGAGGCGGAGGAGGAGGAGGAGGAGGAGAAGGAGGAGGAGGGCGAGCAGAAAGGCCAGAGGCCTCCTGGATGCCTCTTGGAGTCCCTTCGGGTGTTTTTTGAAAGCTTCTGGAGTCCTCTTTGGGCGCCTTGGGGGCCCTCTTGTCGGTCCTGGGGGCATCTTAGAGCGTCGTGGGTGCCTCGGGGGAACCTCTTGGGGTCTCTTGAGAGTCTCTTGGCCTCTTTGGGCCTCCTGGGCGCCTTCTTGGGGCCCTCATGGGGCACTCTTGGGAGTCCTGGAGGCCGTCTTGGGGACAATTTTCGGGGAGATCGATCTTGCCTCTCTCCCATCCCCCCCCCCTCCCCCCCAGGAGGCCAAACTTGGCCCAAACCTGGGGAACATTAGTGAGTTGTGCTTTCGTGTCGAGGCCTTCTTGGACGCTCCAATCAATCGGTCGCGGGGCACCCCGTCCAGATCCAGGGTAGGTGGTAGGGGAAGGGGTGAACCCTTCCCCGAAGGGGAAGGGGGAAGATGGAGGAGGAAACTCTCTTGACCGCTAACGCCCAGGGGGCTGGTGGGAGTTCGAAGATCCTGACACTGGGTGTGTTGTGTCCCTTCCTTGGCTTCTGGGGGCCTCCGCAGGCCCTCCGCTGGTTTGGGGACTCGGGAGCCTCCCTGGGCGCGGGCACTCAGGCTGTCCCAAGACAGTCCCAGAGGCCCCTTGCGTTCTGAGTTCGTTGGTCGAAAATGGTTCCACGAGAGGCGTCCATCCTCTCTTCTCCCTATCTCCTCGCTCCTCCCTCCTCCATCCTCCCTCGCCTGCATTCTCGCTCCTCCTTCCCGCATCCCTTCTTCCCCTTCCTTCGTTCTTCCTCTCTTCGCCCCCCCCCCCTGCCGGACTCGTCTTTCATCTCGGCCACCCGTGTCCTCGCTATTCCTTCCTCCGTGTTCCCTTGTTCCGCCCCCCCCCCCCTTCCTCCTATCTTGTGTGCAAGAAGCCCGGAGACGCTTGCGCCCCCTAGCCTGGGTTCCCCAGATTCGATACCCTTGCGCGAGCGGAAACTCTGCAGGGAAATGGTAAGCAGGAGGAGGAGGAGGAGGAGGAGGAGGAGGAGGAGGAGGAGGAGGAGGAGAACCGGGAGGCGGAGGAGGAGTGAGCAGGAGGAGGGAGGACGAAATTGGATGAGGAGGAGGACGAGGTAGAATGAGGAGGAGGAGGAAGGAGGAGGCGTAACGAGGAGAAAGAGGGAAGAGGAAGCGAAATGAGGAGGTGGTGGAAGCGGGATGAGGAGGAGGGAGGCGGGAGGAGGACGAGCGAACCACGAGGTCGCAGTCGTCGTCGTTGCTGCGCCCCTGCCGGTGCAAGGTGAGAGGGGCGAGGAGCTGCGGAAGTTGGTGAAGCACCGGGAGGCGCCCTGCGGCCGCCCGCGGGGGCGAGCAATCGCGAGTTCCCTCTCCCGTTCCCAAGAAAGGAGGAGTCGGATCGAGGAAGGGCAGGGGGAGGCTAAGGACGATGATCGAGGATCGAGGGGGAGGACCACTCAGGCGGCCAACAGACAGTGGCAGAATGAGATAGAGGCCTGACGATAGGCGGGAGGCAAGCAAGGGATGTCAGGCAAAATATCAGCTGATGTCCAACGAGGTCTTGCCCGAGGAGGTGCATGCTGGTGGGTGCTCTTTCAAGGGGTTCTGGCTGCTACATTCGGGGGGAGGAGCTGAAAAGGGGAGGAGGAGGAGGAGGAGGAGGAGGAGCAGGAGCGGGAGCA